GATACAAACCAGTATTTCCCACCTGGGATATGGGAACTTGTTAGCAGTCAGTGAAAATCTCTGAAAGAGAGAGAGGACTTTTAGTAGACTGCTAACCACTGACCACAACAAGAAATAATGGAAGAGAAAATATGTTTCCTTGAGCATCCAGGTGAAAATAATTCCTGACTGCTTTTTCATTCACCAGGAAGATCCGTTGATTGATGAGAAACATGTTTCTCATAATTTGAAGCTGACAGACTTTGGACTCCGTGCAAAGCCAAAGGTAGGAGTATCTTAAATATAATGTGCCCCCAAATAATGCATGTTTTTCTACAGTATGCAACAGGGACTTGCCCAAACACCCTACATTCAAGCTGTCTCTATGGTTGACATGCAGTTGCATCTTGCTTGGAAGGGCCTTAGCTGTGTGAGAGTGAACAGATTGCTCAGAAGCACACTCAGATTCTTTTCTCTACCCAGACTTCCTATTTTCATAGTGTAAGCTGTAGATAATCTTGTACATGTATAGCCTGTCTTATGCAAGGGCCTGTCATAGGAGCACTGGGCTGGCATGCCATTATCTCTTTGAAGGAACTGTGTGTAGATTGAGATCATGGATAAAACCAAAGAGTTTTGCAGGTGACAAGCAGATCCTGTGGTTGTATATGTTTGAACTGAATTGTTTCTTGATCTTAAAACTGCTTTCTAGGAGCCTTTACTTAACATGCCAGATGGGTGCTGGTAAGAAAGAATTCAATGGGAAGAGTGCCTTCCTGATTCAAAGAGAATTACTTATCCTCAAACTGCTTTTCCTGGCCAAATTTAGAGCCTCTCACAGGTAATCAAGACCAACAGGCTGTTGTCCCAGGGGTATAATGTCGTCTTGCTCTGACCTGTTTAGAACAAAACCCAAGTAGAGTAATAGGATACTCTGAATAAGGAAGTATTCTATCAGTTGTTCTTTGTCAAGCTTGTAAAGTGATTGCATTAAATTGTTCTAAATGACCAGCGAGCCTCAAACATAACAGCTCTTGCATGACTTCATTCTCAGTTTTGTGTTTGCGCAGACAGTTCATCTTAGTAGGTGATCAGCTAAGGAAAATAATGCACTGTGCCAAGGATACATAAAATAAGTGAGCAGCTTGGGATCTGTATAGTTGTACAGTGGTCATGGTCTTAGTCTTTGCTTAGTGAGGTCACCTATTGAATGAAAGCAGAATATATAATGAATGATAGTATGCCCAGGAGAAGAAGCCTCTGAGGCTTCTGAAGTGTCACTGCAGAAAGCATGAACTCTGTTGAAGCAAACTCTTCTGTTTTCTGTGTTATTCCAGGGAGGCCTTGATGACCACCTGAACACGTGCTGTGGAAGCCCAGCATGTGCAGCACCAGAGCTAATCCAGGGCAAAGCCTATATTGGCTCAGAGGTATGCAGACCAGAGTTGGTTTGTTTTGCACCTCTCCCCTCTTTCCCTCCCCAGAGAGCGTTTAAAGGCAGTGGAGCTCAGATACGCTCACTTGGTTTCCCTCCTGAATTCTGCTGGGTTGTGTTGCTCAGCAGCTCTCAGAAGCTGTCAATGGCCACAGACTGAAAAGTGCAATGGGCCGCAGTTCACACAGCTGGCTGGTTTGTCTCTGGCTGATCCTCATCTGTCTCCACCAATTGTTCCCTACTTTGGGGCTCTGTAAAACAGCAACTTCAGAGATCTCCTTCTATTAGTAAGTTTTTGAAAGAGCGATTTGCTCTGCTAATTGTCCATCATTGGTCAAACTCTTGTGCGGTCTCAGGATCTTACGTGTTTTGTTAGACTTGTCTTTAGCTTCCAAGTTGTGTGTGAAGACTTGCTTCCACTGTAACGCACAATGTACTAAAAATTGAGAGATGAAAACGTGAAGAGTTTTTCCAGCTTTGATTTCATGTCCAGAATTTTGGAATCCACTACTTGCAGTTGTTCATCTGTCCAAACTGGTCTGGTTTGAAATGCCCTCGTATTTGTTGAATTGCTCTGCTGTTAAAGATGGAGCAATTCCAAATACCATTGCACCACTGTTGATGGCTTCTAATTCTTGCTTTATTTGTTTTCCACAGACTGCTTTTCAAGCCTCCTTTTTCTTTACAGACAAAGTGAGAATTGCACTGTGAGGTGTAGAGCCTTGTTGTACCTCTACATAAAGAGAACAGCAGCAGAGCCTCACAGCTGACTGCTGACAGCTCTCGTTGCAGCCAGTAACACATAACTGTGCCAAATCCTTTGTGATGGGTTTGATTTCATTTTTGCCAGTGGAATCCTTGTAGGTATAAGGTACTGCGGAAGGGTGATGAGCTAAGATGAAGATACTGGTTTTAGTAGTGCTTTAAGTTGAGTGGAAGAACAATTGAAATGGGGTCATATGCTTTCTGTGGAACCATAAAGTTTTTTTCCTGAGGGAAAGATCCAGCTTTTCATAGGCTGCATGTGGCCTTTGGCAAGGGCAGACAATACAATCTGTCAGTAAGCCATTTTAGGTGCTTCAGGTTTGTAAACTTGTCCTTTTATTTTTTAGGCAGATTTTTGGAGCATGGGTGCACTGCGGTACGCTCTGCTGTGTGGGTTTCTTCCTTTTGATGATGGCAGTGTGATGGCACTCTACAGGAGGATAACAGGAGGTATCGATGGTGCTAGAATACACTGAGAAGGGAAATAGCTGAGCATGACAAGAGGCCTTGCTTTTCTGATGGCAGAACATGCTGAGCTGTGCTGTGTATGGAAAGGCCTGTCTGCTGAATATTGTCCCCTTTTTTGCTGCTTTGTCTACCACTATTTTGTGGGTTTGGTTCTACACTTGGTTGGCCTATGCGGTGCTGTAGCCTGATTATGAATATGATAGCATGCAGAGCTTAAGGAGAAGTATTTACTCATCAATGGGCTAATTTTTGGATCTGGTTCTTCAACTGGCTGCTCCCTGTACTACCTGTAGTAAAAATATAAATACATCGTTTGATTTACCAGAAATGAATGTTATTGAATGCCAGCTCTTCTCATGTCTAGGAAGAGCAAAGTTCTGCATCTGCTATCAGAATTTCCTCTTCCAGAATCAGGAGGAAATGTAGGACCCCATTGATTGCCTTCAAATTCAGCAGTTCATTCTGTTTCCTTTCAGAGCGCACAACAACCTGAGCGTGTTAATCAAGTGACACGGCTTTTCAGTCTGGTGTGAACTGTGCTGTGCATGGAGCCTTTGTCCCTTTGTAATTAGGACGTTGTCCATTTCTGCAGGACTGCAGAAAATCCTTTGTGCTAATCACTACTCCAATTTGCAGAACATGGCAAATGGAAAATGATCCAACTGCTTCAGGTGTACATTTCCTTAAAATTGTGGATAGTTCTGGACTGAGAGCTTGTAAGCAGAATGGAGCTCTTAAAGCTGTCCAAGATTGTTTCTGCACCATTTACTTCTGTCTGATGCACACAGGAGCTGAGGGCTGCAGTGCTTGAGCTGGTGGAACTTGTTTAAGTGAACTGGGATGAGCAAGTTTCAGAACTGAGTCAGAATGCAGTAAAAAATGGATAATCTCACCAGTATTAAGATACTGGCTTGCTATTTCTGCACTGAATTTGTTTTGATTTTATGTGGCTGTGATCTGAAAAGTGCTTGAAATGCAGACAACCAGGCGTTGTTGTGTAATTGACTGTCACACGTTACAGATCCTGAGATATCCTGGAATCTAAAGCTCAGAATTGGTTTAAGTCTGCTTGAATCCAATCAGGATCACAGCATCTGTGTTCAGTGTTCTTTTCCCTGTAATGCTCCACATCACTTCATTTGGGAAATAGGGCACATAGTCCATTTCCTTAGGTAACTGTTGTTAGAACAAAGTATTTCTGGTGTGCTGTTAGGCATTTTGTAGCTCTTGTGAGCAGTTTCCCTTCCAGCATTGCCCTCAGCCAAGCACGTGTTAATTTTTACCATTAAATTTATTCAAGCTGTTCTTAAAGCAGAGTTTGTAATCTCTGTTCCTACGCTTTGAAAGAAAAGAGATGTCAGTATCATCCAAATAATTTAATAGTTCCTTTTGAGCTAGTTGTTCAAGGTTCATTCTCAATCCTCTCTTACTTTAGTTAAGAAAATAACTTTTTTATTGCAGAGAGGAAAAGCAGCACGCTGCTACTTGACCAACTGCCACAGGTAAAAGAGCTGCTTCTATTCAGAGTGATCTACAAAATGCTGTTGCATCAGCTCAAAACATTGATGGAGTGCTTAGAAAATATGCAGTGTTTAAACAAGTTAAACTGCTCCACGCCTGATGTCCTTGAAGGAAAGGTTAGCATTGCCTTGTGCTGAAAATTCTCAATTAATAACGTAGTACTAGTTAATGGTAATAGAAATAATGACAGTTTTAATAATTACACAGTCTTCAAGCAGCTTGCAGTTGGATGTTCTTAATTGTGCTGTTTAATTAAGAGTGATCTGTACACAAAAGCTGTTTCATAAAGGAAGCTGAACGTACTGAGTGTGCCTTTGGGCTGTATCTACGCAGTCTCACATACAAAATGCTCGTGGAACATTTACTGTAACCATAGGTGCTGTAACTGTTCTTCACAGCTCAGGTGTTTGACCTTCCTTCTGGTGAGGTGAATAAATACTGCTGGTCTCTATTTGTGCTTCCAGGCACCTTGAAGTTATTAGGAAAAGAATAACTGTCTGCAGTTCTGCTCGGTGATATAAGGAACAGCTTGAATGTTGCTGCCCACTAGGCAGACCCAAAGAAGCAGATGACAGTTAAACTCCTGTGAAATCACCCTTGGCTCATGCAAGGTTATTCTGATGCTGTTCAGTGGCAAAGCAAATACCCAGTAAGTACATATACCTGAAGAAGCCTAAGTGTTTTCTGGAATCTTTTCTGGACCACTGGCATCCTCACAGAATGGGAGCAATAATACATTTCTTCAGAGGCTGCTGACAAGTGGTGACTCTCCGGGGTCCATTTTGGTGCCCTCGACGTCTTTGTCAGTGACAGAGAGAATGGAACTAGAGAGCACCTTCAGAAAGTTTGCAGGCAGCCCCGTGCTGAGAGGTGCGGTGGATCAAACAGGAGGTAGGGATCTCATCCTGGTGGTAATCAAGGCCGGGTTGGATGAGGCCCCGGACAGTTTGGTCTGGTGAGTTGCAGCTTTGCAACTTGGAGCTTGATGGTCTTTAAGGTCCCTTCCAACTCAAGCTGTTCTATGATTCTCTGGAACTGTGCTTGTGCTCCTTATCTCTCAATTGTCTGACCTGTGTGAGAGGTTGGGGTAGCGGGGTTTGGGTGGGGGTGGGAACTGGATGTGTGAGGAAGATTCTTGCTGCAGGTACTGAGAAGTTGCTGTGTATTTGCAGCCAATGGCTGCTGCTGGCCTCTGGGTGCCACTGTTTCTCTGAAGAACAGCTGTGCTGATGGTACCACCGTGTGCTGTGCATGCCGTGCAACTGAATAATTAAGAGGGGATAGAGGTGTAACTTGTGCTCTAGTGAAAATCTCATCTGCTGACAGGCTTTTGTACTTGAATGCAGAACCTGTTGCCACAGAGGGACCAGTTGCTGAAGTTTGGTGACTCTGTTTACTCCTTGCAGTATTTAGCCCTGATGCTAACTATTTAAAATAGAAAATCTGAAATGGTGGCTAGCTATTGACTTGATTGCTGCATATCAGAAGACTATCATGGTGATATTGGCTCTGTGAGATGACTTGGAAGCTGTTTCTTCAGTAAAGGTCTTGTTTTTGCAGCTGGGGCACCTTGATGAAGACTGTGCAACAGAACTTGCTGTGTTTCACAACCAGAGCAGAGAGAGTATATCAGCATTAATATCAGAGGTAATAAATGTATGTAACTCATTGTATTTAAGCTCACTACTGCAGTAAATAACCTTTCTGTATTAACAGACTCTAATGCTTGCTTCTTCTCAAACATGAAATCTTTCATACCTTTCAGAGCTAAGGCACCCCTGCTGAACTCCATAGTCTATCTGTAGCTAATAACTACATTTCTGAAGTTCACATTTATTCTATTTTTCTGCTTTAATTTTGTTTTCTAAGCCTTTCTGTTATTTTTTACCACGTTAAAATCCTTATGAATCTCTGGCAGTCCAGACAGACTCAAAACAGAAACTTATGGATGCACAGCAGGTGTCAGGTGCTGGCTGAACTCACTGCTCTGAAATGTTTCATTAATAAGTGGAAAATATCAACTCCTCACTCAGGCAACCAAACAAGTTTTGGGAATTATAACTCACAAACTCTTAAAGAAATGAATCCATTCCAGTAACTTTTGAAAATAAATGAGGAAAGCTAAACTGAGTGCTTGTAGAGATACTGTATCAATGTCACTAATGACATTCCAAGCTGCAGAAGAGATTTAAAACACGATGAGTACTCTGGCTTTAACCTGAATCTGAAAACTGTTTCTTGAAATTGAATTGTCTTTCTATTAAATAGAAAGTGGTAGAATTTGGAAGGATTGTTAAGATTTCCATATAACTTTAGTAGGAATAGATATAAAATGTAAGTTTTACCCAGGAGAGACATTTCTACTTTTTTTCAGGTGCAGAAAATAATGAGAACAATCTAGCTACAAGGGGAAGAAGTTCTTCCATGTTAGTCTGTGATATTTTCACAGTCCTTTATCAGAGGACTTCTGATGCCTTATAAGTAATTCAAGCTGATTGTACTGCACTGTGAGTCTATCAAGCATTTTACCCATGGTTCTCATAGTAGTCAAAAAGCTGCTGAAAATCAAGTTGATTGTTGATGCTCCTTGGAGCTGGGCTGAAACATGACCCCCAAAAATGGGAGTCCAGATGGAATATTGTGCAAAATGCATTAATAGGAGCTTTGCCATTCACTCCAGTAGAGCCATTCTGGCACCAGCTTTACTTTTCACTTTCAGCAATTGTACTGCTCTCAAGCAAAAACAAGAGCAGTCTGCTTCTTTATCTTAAACTTGTTATGTGAGCAGCTAAGGTCTGAAACTAGCCTGATGTGATCAGGTGTGATGGTTGCACATCAGGGGGAAAATACTCCAGGCATGCAGAAACGTTTAGAAGCTAAGCTTTCTTTGTACTGGCAACTTCTCTGAAGACATCTAAATACTCTTGTTTTCAGGTGGAATTGTGACCAGATGGCACAACCTATCTCTTGCTTCAATCCAGGAAGGTTCGTGGAAGCGCATCCACTTAAGGATTCCATCACAAACGACGTGCAGTACAACACAGCCAGCAAGCCAGGGGTAAGTGTCAGAGTTCAGCACAACATTCTGGTAAAAACGCTCTGTGTGCTGAAGCTCTGCCTGGGTAAACAGCCTGGTGGCCTCAACATCTGTAAGAGAGATGTGTGCAGCCAGTCTTGGTCATCTTGTTCTATGATAAGGCCGCCCACTTTGTGTATGAAGGCAGAGGGTGTAATCTTTCTAGATTTCAGGGAGCCCTTTCATCCTGATATCCAACTCACAGCAGTGTCACAGGTAGTTCTGGTGGAGCTTTTCTGCACACAAATGCCTACTAACACCTAGATAGGGGCTATGGCTCACAGCACTGTGCTGCAGGTTTTCCTTCATGAAAGGAACCGTGAGTCTGTTCTGTAGGTGAGCCATGCATGCTATTGGCTCTTTCCTGGATGAGACTTTCTCATCCAGAAGCTACTTACAGGGGCTACAACGATCCACAGCCCTTAATGCACGAGCCAGAAGGATATACTCATCAGCATGGCTGACTAAGGTAGAAGTCTCTTCAGGCAGGGAAAGAATTGGGAATGTTTTCAATGAATTTCAAGGGTTAAAAATGTTACTAAATTTTTTCTGTTTCTGGTCAAGAACTTTTCAGATGCAAAATGACGTAAATGAGGAACACTTCACAGGAACTTACGATGACAAACCTGACCAACAAATGCAAGGAAAGGCTGCAGTGTGAGCCCAGCCTGGTCAATGGCTTTCACTGACAGGTGTGCATAGAATGTGTGCCCATGGTCCAGGCCTGGTTCACCTGGTTCCGTGACTGATGGGGTGGGGGCCCACAGACCCAGGCCTTGAGATGGGCCTAAAAAAACACAGCAGCAGTGAGATTTAAGTCCCTTAAACTTTAAAGCAAACAGTGATTGCCACAGAGTGAGATTTTACAGGTGGTACAACCAGCACAAGGGTTGAGCTTGATAATAACTGATTAAATTTTAAAAAAGGATCATAAATAGAGTTTGATAATTGCTGACAAAGTGTACATAACATACAGTTCCAACAAACTAAAGTTTCGTATCAGTGCTGAAATAACTTCTGTGCACGACCCCTCCTGCTGCAATATTAGGCCTCTGTTTGGTTTTCAGATGTTGAAATTTAAGCCTCCTAAATATCAGAAATCAGCTGACGATGCCAGCACTGCAGCTGAGGGCTGTAACTGGCCCATAGCTGGGCTGCTGTGCAAGCTCTGATTTCTGCTTGCTTGCTCTGCTTTCTGGCATGAACACAAACCTCTCCCAAGAGTTCAGATTCTCCCTGAGACTTGATCCGTTCCATGACATTTTTTTTTCACTTTGTTATGGTTTGAAGCACAGCACAAATCAGGTGATTTTTCATCTTGAAGATGCATGTTCCAATCATTGAAATGGGCTGTCAAATCCAACAAAAAGGCTAACTAGATAAGCCATTTCTCACCTTCACCTTTAGGAACATTGAATTGGTGTTTTTTCATCAGACAGATAAGGTTTTAAGGGAAGATGCTGCTTTCCACAAAGCACAGAATTGATAATTTTTTTTTTAATTAGTAAGCAGAATTGGATACATCCACAGCCCATAACAATTCCTGGACCATTGATTCCATTGTTGTTCTTTCACACCCTTACTAGGCTTGGCAATAATCCCCAATCCATAATCAGATATGGAAAAGCTGCAGTTAGGTTTGTCACAGGAAGAAACCTTCTGAAGTCCCTGCAGCAGTACAGTACATCAGTGCTGTTCCCAGTTCTTTAAAGACACCCGTTGAGAAGTGAATGAAGGAGGTAGGAGCTCCTAAAAACCCTGCCAGTCTGAAAAGGAAGCTCCTTACTGATCAGATCTGAACTACTACCTCTAAAAGTTTCTGACACCAAGCACCTTGCTCTAATTGTGTAGGCTGCCGCCCTCACACTGGGCACATGCAGAAGGAAGGAGCACACGCTTTACTGGCTCCACGAGCCCCAGCACGGGGACACAGCGGGGAGCAGGGGCAGCCTGGTGTTAGGTGTGAGCAGCAGAGTCTCTTGGGTCTTGGCACTACGTGGCAAATAAATGGCTCGCATCAAATGAGATCCCTGACAGATCTTTTCATTATGCAAGCTTCAATAGCAAATGGCACCGTTTCCTAAAAGAGTTTTATGGAAACATGACGTTACATTTACTTGGAACAATGAAAAGAACAAACCAGAGTGTTCATCCTTACGCACAAAAAGCACCATCCGTAAAACAGCTACACCTTTGTCTGAAGCATTTCTGTGAGAGTGGGTAATTAGTATTTCAAAACCTGCTCTGATCAGCCACTGGCAGCTCACAAGGCATGTGCTCAGCTGCTTGGCACCCCTGTCAGCAGAGCACAGGTGACCAACCAATAAACTCTATTATACTTCTAATAGAAAAGTGATTCCACTTATCTTTGCCTTGCTGGCAACACTGCTTCCTTTCAGTGCACTGAGTCCTATCTGTAGGAGTAGGACCTGAAACAACGTCATTTGCATCCCTACAAGTGCTGTGGATTACTTGGAATTTTAGGCCACTTTGCTTTCTTCAGGAAAAAACAACTGGACATGGATAATCCCAGTCCAAGGATGGAGCCAGAGAATTATTTCCGTTACAAAATGTCCCCCCCCAGAAAATGTGTGCATGTGAACAACTAAGCAGTTTGATTTTTAATTTTATCCCATTGTCTTTTTAAACAAATAATTCATATGTTTACTAACACCCTGTGTCACCATTAATCCCAGCAGTGCTTTGCCAATATGTCACCATTAAACCCAGCAGAGCTGTGCCAGTGGGCCACCATTAAACCCAGCAGAGCTGTGACAATGTCACCGTCAAAGCCAGCAGAGCTTTGCCACTATAAAAGCCAGTAGATCTTTGCAAATGTGCCACCACTGAACACAGCTGAGGTATGCCACAATTAAACCCAGCAAAGCTGTGCGAATGCTTCACCATTTAACCCAGCAGATCTGTGCCAGTGTGTCACCATTAAAACCTGCAGAGCTGTGCCAGTGTGTCACATTAAATTCAGCAGAGCTGTGCAATGTGTCGGCACAAAAACCAGCAGAGCTTTACCAATGTGCCACCATGAAACCCAGATGTGCTGTGCCAATGTGTCAGCATTAAACCCACCAGAGCTGAGTCAGTGTTTCACCACTAAAGCCAGCAGAGCTCTGCCAGTGTGCCGAAATTAAACCCAGCAGAGCTGTGCCACCATTAAACCCAGAAAATGTTTACCACAGTGTCACCATTAAACCCAGCAGAGCTGTGCCATCATTAAACCCAACACAGCTGTGCCAATGCTTCACCATTAAACGCAGCAGAGCTTAGCCAGGGTGTCACCATTAAACCGAGCAGAGCTGTGCCAATGTGCCATCATTAAACCCAGCAGAGCTGTGCCAGTGGGTCACCCTTAAACTCAGCAGAGCTGTGCCTGTGGGATACCATGAAACTCAGCAGAGCTGTGCCAGTGTGCCACCTTTAAACCATAACAGATATTTCACCATTAAACCCAGCAGAGCTTTGCCAGGGTGTCACCAATAAACCGAGCAGAGCTGTCCCAATGTGCCACCATTAGACCTAGCAGAGATGTGCCAGTGGGTCACCATTAAACCTAGCAGAGATGTGCAATGAGTCAACATTGAACCCAACAGAGCTGTGCCTCTATTATACCCAGCAGAGCTGTGCCAATGTGTAACCATTAAACTCAGCAGCTGAGTTGTGCCAGTGTGAGCATCTCACATGCTGCTTGAAGCCTGCTTAAAAAGCAACACCAAGCCATTGCCTCCTTGGACAGTGGAAGTTTGACACTCACCCATGTGTACCTGCTCATTCCTAGGTGAATGTAAGGGGTCACAACCCAGAAGACTCAGACCCAGCAGTGGTGCACTGTGTGCTTCCTTCAGCGCAGAGTTTTCAGGAAGCATGAATCGCTGCAGTTCTGATGACAACGTTCCACAAGACAACAGTGATGGGGATAAGGAGCTCATCCATGTTCCTGCCCTCACTTCTCCTGGCTCTGCTGAAGATGCTGATCTGAGCCGAGCAGTTATCGCAGTCTCCAGCCTGGTTTGTGACCCAGTGTCTTTCCAGTGCAGCCCAGCCCAAGCAGAGTCCAAGTGCCAGGACAGCAGCAGCTCCACGAGGAGCAGGTGGGCATCACTGAGGAGCAGCCGAGCCTCTTGGAGGAGGACTTAGAATCAGGCAGCTGGTCCCAGGCAGCGGGCAGCACACACAGGTGTGGTGCAGTCACGCTTCTCTCCAAACTCTGGGCTTGGTTAAATCCGAGAAAGTTTTTATGCCATGATGAGCAAACCATGCTATCAACCAAACGATGTCAAAATATTCTTTCTCACCCTTCACCTCCCTTTCCTGCACTCGAAGCAGCAACCCGCTGATCATCGGGGCTCAGTCTGCCATCAGAGAGTGTCAGTGGTCCTCTGAAGGCTTTGTTGGCTGTCAGAGAACTCTGCTGATCATCAGAGATCTTCACTGACCGTCAGAGGGCTTCATTAATCAAGGGTGACATCGGTCACCAGAGAGGAGATTTGAGGTGCCTAAGGGAGGGGATTTGGGGACTCCATGTTGGGTGGTGATGGAGGGGAAGTGGGACTGAAGGAGGAGGGCTGAAGCGGATCCAAGTGAGGGGCAATTGGCTGCGATAAGGGAGGAGGTAAAAGGAGAGCGACCTGGAGACATCGTGGCTGTGGAGGTGGAACAAAGGGTGAAGGGTTTGGCAGGAACTGGAAGGAGGAATTGGGAGAGAGCAGGGGGAGGGTATTGGGGCTGCTTGGCAGCATGGGGTGCTCCGTCCTTGAGGATTTTGGAGGAGGCAGCACAAAGGAGATGGAGAGGTCCACGGGTGCAGGATGTGGGGTGTAGGACCCCTCCCACCACCTAGGGGTGGCCTCTGCCAGGCAGGGACA